ATTGTTTTTAACTCCTTCCAATGAAGCTTTTTTTTTTTTTTTTTTTGCTTCAATCTTAAGCTGCAAAATACAGCCCTGAGCCTATTAGTTTATTTTAACTGGAGAAAAATGTGTGTTGTTTTATACATGAAGATGCACCTCGCTTTCTGCACCCCAACTTTTCCAAATTCTAGATCTACCCATAGGTATGGCACTGAGAGATGCTGGATATTGAACCCCTGGCAGGGCCCTGCATATCCCAAGACCAGGCTTGTCCATCTACAGCTGCAGATCATGCCAGGTTATGGTGTGCATCTAGCCACCATGAGGGGCAATCCCAGCACTCTGCAAGGGAGCCATCATTATAATGTAGGTAGAGCCTGATCCTGGACTGACTGAGCTCCAGGGACTTCCATGCAGCTACACCCATTTGCATCAGAGATTAATACTAATACCATGCTCTTACGCAGTACATTTTGTTGCTAGTTCCCAAGCAAAGGGAGTCAGTTTTGTCATCTCTGTTCTACAGATGCAGCTGCTGAGGCACAGAGAAGGGAACTACCTTGCTCAAGATGATTCAGCAGGTCAGTGTCAGAGCTGGGAATACAACCCAGGTCTACCAGGTCCTGGTCCAGTGCTCCTTCCAGTAGGCAACACTGCCTCAATATGCAAATTCAACCCTTAATCTAGCTCGGGCCAGCAAGGCCTGAAAGCTGTTTCCATGTGTGGATTGGCTGGTGGCCTCTCTGAAACGAGGTTTGTGGGTTTCAGCTCAGTTCCCAATCAACGAGCCCTGGCGTCACAGAAACACATCTCCACAACTGCTGATCTGTGGGCTACGCCAGCCAAGGTCTAAACAGGCCAGAGACAGTGTGTCGTTCCCTAGCCCCTTGGAAATAAAGGACCTGTCAGATCAAGTCTGAAATGTATTGAGAAGCTGGATTCGCCTCTCTCCCAGCTCAGCAAAGGGAAAGCACGTGCTAGCATCCAAGGCAGGTACCTTCCAGCATACCGAGTTCACAAAGCCTAGATGTATAGGCCCAGCCTTGCTCACCTGAGCAGCTCTTTCTCCTTCTCCAGGGTGTTGAGCATGTTCACGGAGGACGACTGCTGGAGACAATAGGTCTGAAAGGCAGGCAGCATGTTGACAAACTCCAGGAATACCTCACCAATGCACACGGTCATGAGATCATCGTCACCCTGCAAGCACACATGGCAGCCGCTGCAGTCAGTTGATGAGAGAAGGGCATACAAGACAGTCCGGCTAAACTAGGGGCTTGGCACAATGTGCACTCGCTGTCAGGTACTGTACTTACAACCCTGGCAGTCCCATTGCCTTCTCAGTGTCATGCACACGGTTCCAGAGGCCAGGTTTTCAATAGAGCTCATCTGTGCACATTGAACCTAGCTCATGAGCTGCTGAATGCTTGAAAACCTGGGCCCTTTCTCCCTGGACTGCAAAGGACCCTTCCTACAGAAGGAAACTCAGACCCAAGGAAGTGCCCCAGCGGTATTTTGCACGTGCAGAGAGAAACGGGACAGGCGCTGTCATTATGGAGAGAGCTCGACCTTCCTTGGAGAACAAGCACTACCGATAGCAGGAGGCCCAGATGTGATCATTTCCTCACCAAACAGTCCTGCCCGTTTCTCTTGTCTCTGCATTAGATCTTGCCTCGGCTCTGTTCCTTGTCAGCCTCTGTCAGCCTCTCCCTCCCTTGCCCGTGCAGGACTCCCTCTGAGCCCTGCACAAGGGGATCCAGTGGCTTGAGCAGGTGGCAATGGGCAAGCCGTCCTCCTCTAGGTGAGCAGCTTAAATGCAGTGTCAGCAGTCTCTGAGAGCCATGAGGTGACCCATGTAAAACAAGGAGCTGGTCTTGGTCTGGTCCCCAAACACATCTACCTCTGACCCTTGCTGGCACCCTGAGCCCAGCCAGCTCTGGCTCGCATGCTTCAAGAACAGCAATGCACCAATGAAGCCACTCTCAAACACACCAGAGATCCAGGTGTTGGGAGCAGCTGCAGTGGGACGTCCCCACCAGTGTACTTCTGGATTTGTGTGTGTGACTAGGAGCGGGTAGTCTAAGGTGTTTAGGGGTGTCCCAGTTACTATGCCAGAGATGCAGCCCATGCCACTTTGCATTTAGCACCCTCACTGTCAGTGCCATCAGACCTACAGGCACTATCCCAGTTAGGAGACAGCATGTAAGGAGAGAGGAGTTATCAAGCCAATGACACCTTGGACCACACAAAACACCCTCTCCTGAAGTGGGCTGGTTGCCCAGGCCACTGCTGGGGATCAGGGTGTGTTCTCCGGCCCAGTGCTCCCAGGGCCTTTGCTGCAGGTCAGTCTGGCATGACGAACCCACGTGGCATTGCAAGCATTCACGAAAAATGGGCAGTGGCTTAGTGCAACTCCTCCACGCACTCAGGAGCTTAACTGGTTTTGTGCTGTTTGGAGCTACTGGGACCAGCTGTTCCCTGGGCTACGTGGGCACCGTTGATGGTTGCATAAAAATGTGTTTCCTGGTATTTTAACCCCGTGCATGAGCAATTAAATGAGGACAGCAATGAGAATACAGTGCCGTGGTAATGCCCGGCTCAGGTGTTTGCATAACAAGTGGCCTGCAGTGATGGCTTCAGCAGTAACTCTGCATCCCCTTTTAACACAGGGCTGGTTGCACAGGGGGCCATAGAGAAGGGGGGAGAGGGCAATGGGGCATGTGGGTGACAAAACAGGCAGCGGTTTGCAGCTGTTCCCCTGCTCTTGGCCATCGGCCCAGGGATCCTTGATGCATTGCTGCAGCTGGAAGCTGTCAGGGTTGGTGAAGGTGTGGATGTGGCGTGGTCTAATAAGTGTGGGCTGCAGGGACCCTTACCTACAATAGGCAAGAGGTGGCTCGTGTTTCCTTAGCAGAGAGGAGTCTGCGTTGGTTGCCTGCCCCTTCCCTGCTGCCTGGTGGCCTGGATTCATTTTTCACTCTGCCACAATCACTGCCATGGGGCTTGGGGAGCTCCTCTGCTGCCATGCAGTAGCGACTGCCCTGGGCCGTGCCTGAGGTGGCGACCACACAGCCCTGTACGTTAAAGGGGACCGGCTGGTCCCTTGCTTTCACAGTCGCAGGCATCATTTGCTGAATGAGCCCCATGACCTATCCACGCTGTGGTAAGGAGTGACTGAGGAGCTGGCTCCCCTGTACCCCAAGCTGTAGGCACTTTTGGCAAGAGACCCATGCATCCACATGCTCCTTTTCTTCACCCTGACCACAGACCCCTGGACTAACCCCTGCCTAGTCCCTCTGCATGGCGATGCCCCTTTGGGGGTCATGGGGCTCACTGCCGAACCCTACTGCCTTCACCTTACTGTGCAATGGGACTTTGCAGGGGTTTCTGTAGCTTCCATTTCAAGTGCCCTGCAAAAGCACAGCCCTTGCCAGCCTCCTTAAACCAGGGTCCTGTGCCCCTGCTGGCCTCCATACAGCCTTCTCCACACTGGGCCATACAGTGCGTGGGCCTGTGATCCAGGCAGCGAGATTTAGGTGATGCCAGCTCGTTCCCCCGGGGGATCCTCCTCCAGTCTTGGCTCCACTAGCGATGGGGGAACCTGTCTACATCTTCATTTCCCATTTTCTCATGTCATTGTCACTTCCCCAACAGGACTGTTGTGAGCATGTGGTTGATTCCTACGTCCAACCTGGTAAGAGTTCGAGGTCTAAGTGAGGTTTCCCTGCAGTCGCTGATATCACAGTGGCCCTTCATGCAGGATCAATGCTGAATGCTGTTAGGTTTCTTTATGGAACAGATTCCTCACTGCCCAAAGTACAGGTCACCTGCAGGGCTGATCATAAGTCTAATGGGGAGTTTTGGCTGGAGTCTGCTTGCAAAGTACAGACTCAGAGCAAAACAGGGGTGAGGGAGCTGAGTGTTTGATGCAGCTGTGGGTCCCGGAGAGAAGCAATAGGTGCTGCCAGGGGAAGGCAGTGAGGAAGCCCCAGATACAGCCAGAGAAGCCCTTGGAGCATGAGATTGGGAAGGAGGTAGAGGACGAGAAGATTGCTTCTGGACAGAGCCACTGGAAACAGGTGAGGAACCAGACGCAAGAAACTGTGTCCTGCTATTTGCATCCTATTGTGCACACAGCAACTGGGCCTTGTACATCCTTGGCGCTGAGAAGCTACCCCACCCCATCATCAAATCCTTCTCTTCCCAGAAACAACTCGCAAGACCTTGAATATTGGCTGACAGCTCAGGCTAACAGTGGTAGGATGGGACCCACATCTGGATGGACGCGTTGCCAGAGCTGCCTCTTCTTCCTGGCATGTCTTCCTGCTTCCTCTGGGGGGTAAGTGAGAAACTATGACGAGGTTTTTTGGTGCCAGGAAAGTCAAAGCCAGTCAGAGAGGAAGGAACTACAGGAGCAAATTGGACTAGAAGGATTTGCAGAGGCACAGCACAGTTGTGGGTAGATAACCATAAAGGGATTATGCAAATCCCTTGACATTGATTGACTAATAAGGGCTGACAGCCATGCCAGCACAGGGATGTGCATGCTGCATAGTTATTAAAAATAACCTTCTGGTATTGATGCCAATGAGAGCCAAAGAGCCAATCAAAGTGCAGGGATCTGCATAATACAAGGGGGTGGGGAGCTGCCCTGCCGTTCCGAACTCTGCCCACCAGACCTGATCCCACCGGTGCGTGCAGTGTTAGCGCTCAGTGTCTTCTGTCTTCATTTGCATGACCCCTGGCAAGATGAGCAGCCCACTTCTCCCTGAGCCAAAAGGCAATGTGCCCAATCCTCAGTGAGGCCAAATCTGCACGGCTTCACTGGCTGAAGTGGAGTTGACCCAACTTAACCAGCTAAAAATCTAGGCCAGTAACTTTGCATTCACTTCTGGTAACGGAGCCTCGCCACCTCCCCCCACCCCCATGACGCACAATGCACATGTCTCTTTACACCCACTTCACAGATGGGTCAGCTGAGGCACATGAGGCCAGATCCTCGGCAGATGTAAACCAGCACTGCTCTGTCACAACCAAGGAAAGGTATGCTGATCAACAGCAGCAGCCCAGAGGTATAAAGTGACTATTGGGAGCATCCGCATCCCAGGGGCAGGACCCGCTTGACCACTCTCCATTAATGATGTGATTTGTGGCTAGGCTGGCTAGCCCTAATTGCTCAGAGGGGGAGCGACGCCGAGCGCAGGGCCCGTACCTGATCAAAGGCTTGGTCGATCTCCTCCTGCAGTATCTCCAGGAAGTTCTCATTGAGGTCGATCAGCTCCTGGATGTTGCTGAACACGCCCAGCAGCTGCTCCGGGGTCAGCAGCCCAGCTGCCTGCATGGGCAGGTAAAACTCCTCCTTGATGATCCGCAGGTCCTCGCCATAGCTGGCCTCCGTGTTGACAAACTCCAGGATCGACTCCTTCCGCTCGGTCCTGCGCTTCAGGCACTTCTCGCACAGGTTGTCCCGTCTCTTGTTGCGGTTCTGGGCATCTGTCTCCGGCGGGAAATCCCTCTCCCCGCAGTCGGTGCATGGCCTGTGCGCCTCCCAGGCCTGCAGGGAGCTCAGCGTCTCAGAGGCTCTGCTCTTCCATTTCCTGGCCGAAGCCTGGTCGATGCCGCTGTCCGCCCGCTCCACCTCTGCCGACCTGGTCCTGGCAGGATCATTGTCCTTGTCATCGCTCCTACTGGCGATGCCGCTGTCAGCGCTCAGGCTACTGACGTTGCTCCAGCGGTGCTTGGATCGCAGGGAGCTGCTCAGCATGTAGCTGCTCTCATCAAAGCTGCAGCCGTGGCCCACGTTGGCTTTGGCCACCACGGGACCTGGGAATAAACAGAACTCGTGACAGCCTTCGAGAAGAGTTTGCATGGTAGACTCTGGCCACTCCCAGCCTTTCCACCCCCATCTCTCCTTTAGAGAGGAGCCATTCCCTCATCCTCCTCGCTAGCGCACTGTGAACTGACCTGGGAGCACCCCAGCCGCAGAGACCGGGATCCTCCGGGCTGTCACTCAGGTGGCCTCAGCCATAAATTGCCCTCTGATTTCGGGCTTGCATTGCAGAAGGGTCATCTCCTCGGGGCATGTTCATCCACTTGTGTTATGTATCCCCTGATTCACACCATCTGAGGGCCTCACCTTCTGCATGTGCTTTGTGCAATAACCCATGCGGCCATGAGCTGTAACCACGTGCTGAGCGGGTGACGGGATGGGGAGTGAGGCAGAGATAACGGGGTGTCCTGGGGCGTTGTCCTAGTACAGAAACCCCTCCCCTTGTTTCATGAATCACAGAAGTGAGAGCTAGGATCAACTCTCAGCTCATGCACTCATCCTCCGGGGCAAGTCATCCCCAGAGCGGGACACAGTACTGGGACCAACTTCCTACCACCTCTGTATCTTCCTTAGCTGGCAGCTGCTGGCAGCCTGTGAGGTCCTAACTTGTGCCCAGCTGCCTCGCAGCCCTTTTGGCAGCTGTGGCAGGCAGGAACAGCTAAGTGCACAGGAATATATCACCACACCCCTCCTGCTATGCACAGCCATCTGGACCGAGCATGGGGGGGACGGAGACTGCACATCGGATGGCACTAGGCCTGATTCCCGCTCTATGTGTGTGGCTGAGTCGCCCCAGAGTACCTTCTCTGCAGTAATGGCATTAGTCCAGCCTGATGCCAGTCCAGCAGGGACCAGCCTCTGGCTCATCTTCCCGCTCAGCTCCTCTGCAGAGGGAGCAGGGCCCCTTTCCAATTCACCTAAGGGCAGGCAGCGCCAGGCCAGTTGTGCGGGTACCTGTGTCTCTCTCCTGCCGTCGCTTGTGGGCGTGCTGCCGAGCAGCAGCGGCGATCTTCAGCTCCAGCTGTTTCCTCTTCACGGCATCGGCAGGCATGGGGTCGCTGAAGTGAGGCCGCAGGCGGCACTCCCGCTGGGCCTTGGCACACTCCGCCGCCTCATGGGCCATGTCCGAGCTTGATCTGCGGCCACTGGGGCTCGAGCTCTGCAACACAGACAAGGGGCTTCAAAGCAGGGAAGGAACAGGGTGGGGGAGTTAAAAGCTGAGCGAGGGGCACTCTGCCAGCTGCTGCCTGAAGTCGCAGCAAAGCCTGGTCCTGCTGCTGCAGAAGCTCACAGCAAAGCGCTGGAGGATAACAGCCTGGAGGGCAGACACCTGGCTCGCAAACTCACCTCTGCTGGGTGATACCGGGCCATTTTGCCTCCTTTCACCCTCTGTCTTGAGTGCTCCTTGGGCCAGGGACTTGCCCAAATGCGGGGCATTTGGGAGGTCGCTTCTGGACATGTTGTGGCAGGGCCGCACGGCCTCTGTGCCAGGCCAAGATACATACATAGTGCATCTCAGCAATGCAGCTTGCTCTCTTGGATGTGCTATCTGGCAAGCACCCTGAGCTGCTTTTAAGGCAGTGACACTGCCTCGGTGCTGGGGTTTGGTGTGGGCAAGGCAGGAGGGGGTGGGTAGCAGTGCTGCTGAGCTCGGCAGTGTGGGCAGCCCCGGCCCTTTGGCAGGCAGGGGGGCTCATAGTAGGGTAGTAGAAGATTGCTCTCAAATTTTCCAGGAGCCAGAAATCAAACCCAAAACAGTGCAGCAGAAAAATCTGCTTTTGACGCTGTCTGGGAGGCGTGAATTTGCTTTGGACATTCATTCCCAGCCTCTAAAATCCACTTAGTCCACGTCCTTCTGACTCCTACCAGATTAAACGTCTAACAGTTGCAATCACCGGGCCAAAGCCACCTTTTTTTCCTTACACTTGCTGCAGGTAGAGCATCACCAGGTGTCTCATTATTTGGCTTGTTCCATGTCTGTGTTGCCATGGGAATCTCGGTAGACTGATTGCTGTCCTCTGGAGATGAGAGATCAGCTTTCCCCTGGTCACATGGTCCCTTGGATGGGGACTCAATGGCAGACTCAGTGCTGCAGCTGCGAAGAAGGAAGCAGAAGCCAATTAACATCATCTGGTGTATGTGCCACGCAGAGTCGCGGCCCCTGCTCTGAGCTACCGATATAACCTGGGATGCTCAACAGAGACCCCCAGGTCTAAACACCCAGTCACGCAGAGAGGGCCCATCCTGACTGCATGTCCAGACCAGGCTTTCGCTTTCATAAGATCATCATGTGTATTTTAAGGACTCTAAAACCCAACTCAGGTGTGGTAGTAAATTCTGGTGGCTTCAATTAAGCCAGTGTCAAGCTAGAGTAACTACTAATGTCTCAGATGCTCACAGTAGAGTTTTGTTCATGAAGTCCGAGTCCCAGTGGGGACCAAGAAAAGTTCTTGCTAAGTAGGCCAGATGCAGCCTTTCAAAGAGACACCATCAACACAGGAAACCAACTACGTGTCTGGAGAAAAAAAAAAGTCATCTTCTGCCAGGATTAGTAACCCCTAAACATCACCATCAACTAAATCAGCAAGTGGAAAAATATTGTTCTCTATTTTCAGCTTGTTTAATATGGGGGTTCTTCCCAGGGCTGCTAAAATCGTTGGGAAGAGTCAAGGATTTCAGCAAACTTTGGATCATGCCTCACATGCAGCTGATTATGTTTAAAGAGTCCCCATAGTTGCTGTGCATGTTTTGTGCCTCTCCCAATGCTTTTAAAATGGTCCGTGTCTGGTCTGAGACCCGTGAGAGGAGGAGATTGCCCTTCTAGCCCCGCTGTCTCCTGCCCGTGGGAGTTGCGCAGTAACAAGGTAGAAAGAAATAGCCTTTGAATGGGGGAAGGGGAATGTAAAAGCCTGCAGTCTGGCAGACGGGAGTGCTGCATCTGACACTGCTTTGCGTTCATTTTTCACAAATTGCCCTCCATTTAAATTGACAGCATCTTTTTAATATGAGAAGTTATTCTGAGACAAGGCGCGAGCAGCTTTTGGAGAAATAGCGAGAGAGATTAGTCAGACTAAAGGATGGAGAATAAGAGAGGCATTCTTATGAGGATGACTTCTCTCTTTGGTTTATAACATGAGATGCTGTCAGGATGCAGAGTTCATTTTTTCTTGGTTCAAATTCCCTTAAGGTGGACAGACAGGACTGGACAGGACCTTGGACAATGACTACAAGGACTGGGGACTGCAGCCTTGTGCAATACCGACTATCTACCTATACGTTCCTTCCTTACATAGGTCTTTACTCCTAGGCTAAGGCTGATATGTGGATGTGCAGCTCCATCACAATTACAACATATAGGGCACATCTACACATGCAGTTACTGCGCGGTAACTTAGGTAACCAAAAATCACTGTGCAGTACAGGTGCGTATCTACATGTGCACGCCCATAGTGTGCAGTAACTATGGCGACTTACACCAACTTATTTACACCAGCTTAAACTTACACCTGAGTAGTTACTGTGCAGTAAGGCACATGTAGATGCCTTACAATGCAGTAACCATGTGTGTGTGGACTGACTCGGGACTAACTTGAGCCCCAAGTCAGTCCACACACAGCATCACTGCGCTGTAACGCCTGCATGTGTAGATGCTGGCGTAAGAATTGCTTACTGCGCAGTAAGTTACTGCACAGTAAATGCACATGCAGACACACCCATAGGCACTTTTAACTGAGGATGAGTGAGCTGGTTCAGAGAAAGTAAAAGATTCAGATGCTGAACCGGTGCTGGATCTGGTTCAGAAAAAAACTTACCACAGCCCCAATTCTCCTCCACCACTGTTATAAGGACTGAAATGTTCGCTTTAACTTCTTAAATTGTAATTTTCTTATTTTCACGTACTCCGTACTTCCAGAACCCACCGGGACTAACAGGATTTGCAGAATTAGAGAAAGGATGGTCACAGTTGGGAGTATGTTGACAGAACAGTACAATTGTAATAGGAAGCTGTGAACCAAGACTCCTGGGTTCTGTTTTTAGCTCTTCCAGTGACTTGCTGTGCAGATTTGGATGTGTGTTGCAGAATGGAAATAATGTCATTGCTTCCACTTGTACTACAGAAGCACCCCTCAGCTTCCACCAAAATTAGTCACCCACTGCACTATCAGCTATACAAACACTTTGTAGGGAGGTGCCTGGCCACATCAGTCCAAAACGGGGCAGGGTGGCACCTTAGAGACTAACTGGTTTAGAGAGCAAAGAGCTTTTATAGGCAACTACCTACTTGGTCAGAGGCTGACTGAACACTTAGTAAGAGATGTCCCTGCTGCAAACGGCTGCCAGTCTAAATAGCATGGGAGTGTTAGACCCACGTGTCAAGAAGAGCACAGAGCAACTGCAAACGCTTCCTCAGCCTGAAGAAGGGTGTTTGTACCCAAAAGCTTGCAAAGAAGAATGTTTCCGTCTATCTGAGTTGGTCTAATAAAAGATACCGGATTTGCCCAAAGAACTATAGGCCAGTTAGTCTTACCTCAATCCTGGGCAAGCTTTTTGAGAGAATTATCCTGGCACATGGCCACGAGGGGCCAGCGGGGGAGATTATGCTTAGGGGCAACCAACACGGGTTCATTAGAGGCAGGTCCTGTCAGACCAACCTGGTGGCCTTCTACGACCAGGTCACCAAATCCTGCCCAGTCCTTTCTGATTGAAGGAGAGATGGAAAGGACTGAGACCTGCCCAGCATTATGGTTAAAGGTTAGGGGCTGCCCCTCTTGGCAGCACAGAGGCAGAGAGGGATCTTGGAGTCAGGATTGACTCCAGGATGAATATGAGTTGCCAATGCGACAAAGCAATAGGCAGAGCCAACCGCACCCTGTC